TGGCGGCGCTGCTGCAGTATGTGGAGTTCATCCAGGGCGTGGTGCTCGCCCCGGCCTCCGTGCGCGTCTCCTTCTGCGGCAGTGAGCGCACCGCCATGATCGACGGCACAACGGCCGCCAACCTGGAGCTGCTGCGCAACTCCCACGACCCCCGGTAGACGATGCCTCCTCCTCCCTCGCTAGCGGGGATAGCCGCTCCCTCTTCTGTGTGTTGGTGTGTGTGTGTTGGTGTGTGTGTTGGTGTGTGTGGTGTGTGTGTGTGGGTGTTGGTGTGGTGTGGGTGTGTGGGTGTGTGTGGTTGTGTGTGGAGCCAGGAGATTGAATATCTACCCTCGGGGCTCCTCCAGAAACAACGAAAAACCACTACGGGTGGCCACGTGGAATGTTCGAACGCTCACTGCGGAGGAGAGGCTGCCACTCCTCTGTCGGGAGCTGGACCGGTACCGCCTGGATCTATGTGGCATTAAGGAGGTCCGGTGGACTGGCTCTGGCTCCTGCCACCATGAGGGGTGGACAGTCCTCTACTCGGGACAGCAGACTGCCAAACAACAGGGAGTGGTTCTTCTTTTGAACAAAAGAATGAAGGGGGCGTGGGAGCGTGGCGGTGAGGTGTGGGAAGCTGTAAGCCCCAGGCTACTTTGGGCTCGCCTTCCCATCAACCCGAGGCGAGGAATGGTGGTCGTGGTTACTTATGCCCCCACTGAAGATGAACATCCGTGGAGGGATGCAGGCAAAGCCGATGAGTCAGATGCCTTCTATGACCTCCTGTCACAGGTGCTGGCTAAAGTGGCCCCTCGGGATAGAGTGGCCCCTCGGATAGGTCATGTAACCCGCATGCCCAGCCACCGCATGCCGAAACAGCTTTTGTTCGGCCGGATTGAGGGGGCTAAGCGGGTGCGGCACGGGCTAGAGAAGAGATGGAGTGATGTGGTACAGGAGGACGTGGAGCTGAGTGGACTTGCCGATGACTGGTACCAGCGGTGTCAAGATCGGCCTCTGTGGAGGAGGCTCATGAAGGACGCTACTGGGCAGTTGGAGGCAGTCGCCCTCCAACAACAATGGAGGGCAGAGGAGCGACGCTCACAACAACGAGCGGAGCGCCGGGTGGCTAAAGCACAGCAGGTTGCCACAGTAGGGGGCACAGGTGGTGCATCAGCCAGTCATCTCAGTCAGTCGACCCGTGGCACCTGGGTCTGCCCCGTGACCTCCTGCCAGCGGGCGTTCGACACTTCACGTGGCCTCAGGGTGCACATAGCCTGGCACAAGCGTCGTGGTGATGTCACCGCCACTTAGTGGAGAATGGTGGTTGTTGTTGTTTTGTGGTTTGTGTTGGTGTGTGTGTGTTGGTGTGTGTGTTGGTGTGTGTTGGTGTGTGTGGGGGTGTGTGTGGGTGCAAGTGTGGTAGTGTGTGTGTGTTGGTGTGTGTGCAGTGTATGTGTGGGTGCGAGTGTGGTATGAGTGTGTGTGGGTGTGTGTTGGTGTGTGTGTGACCCTCCTCCACCCGTGTGTGTGCGTGTGTGCGTGCGAGCGTGCACCCAGGAGCTCCCACTCGCTATTCGGGGTGCTCAACTACACGAGGACGCGTGGAGGAGCGCGCCGGCTCAGAGCCAACATCCACGAGCCGCTGGTGGACGAAGAGACGCTCAGAGGCCGTCTCGACTGTGTGGATGAGCTGATGCAGGAAGACAACTTCTATAGAGTGCAGGCCGGTGGGTGGGTGGGTTGGTGGGTGGGTGGCTGAGTGGGTGGGTGGGTATGTGGGTGGGTGAGTGGGTGAGTGAGTGGGTGGGTGGGTGAGTGGGTGAGTGAGTGGTTGGGTGGGTGGGTGAGTGGGTATGTGGGTGATGGGGCAGTTGTGGAGAGAGTGGAGAGTTTCCCATACCTGGGCAATGTGCTCATGACCGGCTCCAGTTTAACAGCAGAGGTCTCACTCCGAATCAGTCGAGCGGCATTATCTTTTAATCGGTTGCGTAACGCTGTGTGGAAGTTACCTGGTCTGTCGCTCCGCACGAAGCTTCGGGTCTTCCCTCCCTTCTCTACGCTTGTGAAACGTGTACCCCCCTAATGGAACATCTTCGCCGGTTAGAAATATTTAGGCTGGCCTGCCTACGATCAATCCTGGGTTTAACCAGGCTGGATTGTGTAAGGAGCTCACAAATCCTCGAAAAATTTGGACAAAGTCCCATCGGTGAGCTCCTCCGGCAGGCAAGACTGCGTTGGCTGGGCCATGTAGCCCGCATGCCCAATCACCACATGCCCAAATAGATTTTGTTCGGCTGGATTGAGGGGGCTAAACGGGCGCGGCACGGGCTAGAGAAGAGATGGAGTGATGTGGTACAGGAGGACGTGGAGCTGAGTGGACTTGCCGATGACTGGTACCAGCGGTGTCAAGATCGGCCTCTGTGGAGGAGGCTCGTGAAGGACGCTACTGGGCAGTTGGAGGCAGTCGCCCTCCAACAACAACGGAGGGCGGAGGAGCGACGCTCACAACGACGAGCGGAGCGCCGGCTGGCTAAAGCACAGCAAGTTGGCACAGTAGGGGGCACAGGTGGTGCATCAGCCAGTCATCTCAGTCATCTTAGTCAGTCGACCCGTGGCACCTGGGTCTGCCCCGTGACCACCTGCCGGTGGGCGTTCGACACTTCATGTGGCCTCAAGGTGCACATGGCCTGGCACAAGCGTCGTGGTGACGTCACCGCCACTTAGTGGCGAATGGCGGTTGTTGTTGTTGTGTATGTCTGTGTGTGTGTGTCTGTGTGTATATGTGTGATGTCTGTGTGTATGTGTGTGCAGCTATCAGTCAGTTTCTGGATGTAGACCACCTGCTCTCAATGCTGATTCAAATCCCTAAGACAGAGACGGTGAGATGATCACTTTAATCAGCATCACCTCGCTCAGCACCACACAGTACCCCTTCATCACGTTAAACAGGGGTGGGGAACGTCTGGTCTCTGGCCCTGCCAAGGCAACCGCAGGCAGGACTCGAAATTCAATAAATCTAGGTAGAGCAAACCTGGAAGAGCAGTTGCGAGTAGCAACAACATCGTCAATACCGGCTAACATCACCAAACGCTTCGCCAAAGAGAAGCAGTTCCAGCCCATCGCATTAGGGGCGAGTTAATTAAACGTTTGACCGGATATAACGGGCTAATTTTTAAGTTGATCAATTTTGTATGGCCCGCGAATGATGTTGTAAATATCCAAATGGCCCTTGGTAGAAAAAAGGTTCCCCACCCGTGATGTAGAGAGAGAGGCTATTTAGTGATCTATTTATTTGTCTATATTTATCTCTACATGTATCTATCTATATTCGGTAAAGTCACGTAGAAGGGAAATAATATAAATATAAAACAATACAATTTTCTTGCTGTGGTTTTCACACCTTGATGATGATTACTTGTGTTGCAGTCGAAACTTCGTGATAATTTTATTGTTTTATATTTTTATTATTTTATAGTTTCCCTTCTACGTGGTGACTTTACCGAAAGAACCAAGAATATGAATCCCTGCGGTCACGAAAGCTTTAAATCAAAATGTATCTATCTATGTATCTGTCTATCCATCCACCCTGTTCCAGTTGAGAACTGCTGAGTCTAAGATCAACTACGCCATCCACCTCAAGCATGTCCTGGAGTTGGTGTCTCCACTGCAGGTTACATCGCCTGCCCAAGATCACTGTCATCACTAATTATTGTTAATCACTACCATCACTAATTATCATTAATCACTGTCATCACTAATTATTGTTCATCGCTATGATCACTAATTATCATTAATCACTGTCATCACTAATTATTGTTAATCACTACCATCACTAATTATCATTAATCACTATCATCACTAATTATTGTTAATCACTATCATCACTAATTATTATTGATCACTGTCATCACTAATTATTGTTAATCACTATCATCACTAATTATTGTTAATCACTATCATCACTAATTATTGTTAATCACTGTCATCACTAATTATTATTGATCACTGTCATCACTAATTATTGTTAATCACTGTCATCACTAATTATTATTGATCACTATCATCACTAATTATTGTTAATCACTGTCATCACTAATTATTATTGATCACTATCATCACTAATTATTGTTAATCACCATCATCACTAATTATTGTTAATCACCATCATCACTAATTATTGTTAATCACTGTCATCACTAATTATTGTTAATCACTATCATCACTAATTATTGTTAATCACTATCATCACTAATTATCGTTAATCACTGTCATCACTAATTATTGTTAATCACTATCATCACTAATTATTGTTAATCACTGTCATCACTAATTATTATTGATCACTATCACCACTAATTATTGTTAATCACCATCATCACTAATCATCGTTAATCACTATCATCACTAATTATTATTAATCACTATCATCACTAATTATTGTTAATCACTATCATCACTAATTATTGTTAATCACTGTCATCACTAATTATTATTGATCACTATCACCACTAATTATTGTTCATCACTGTCATCACTAATTATTATTGATCACTATCACCACTAATTATCGTTAATCACTATCATCACTAATTATTGTTAATCACTGTCATCACTAATTATTATTGATCACTATCATCACTAATTATTATTGATCACTATCATTATCATTAAGCTGCCACTGGGGGTGCCCCTAGGCCACAGCAGACTCACACACAGAGACAACTGCCACTGGGGGTACCCCTAGGCTACAGCAGACTCACACACAGAGACAGCTGCCACTGGGGGTGCCCCTAGGCTACAGCAGACTCACACACAGAGACAGCTGCCACTGGGGGTGCCCCTAGGCAACAGCAGACTCACACACAGAGACAGCTGCCACTGGGGGTGCCCCTAGGCAACAGCAGACTCACACACAGAGACAGCTGCCCCTGGGGGTGCCCCTAGACCACAGCAGACTCACACACAGAGACAGCTGCCACTGGGGGTGCCCCTAGGCAACAGCAGACTCACACACAGAGACAGCTGCCACTGGGGGTGCCCCTAGACCACAGCAGACTCACACACAGAGACAGCTGCCACTGGGGGTGCCCCTAGGCAACAGCAGACTCACACACAGAGACAGCTGCCACTGGGGGTGCCTCCACAACACCCACAGGTAGGGTGAGTGGCAGGTGAGGTGAGTGGTGAGGTGAGGGGTTGGTGAGGGGTGGGTGAGTGTTGAGTGAAGGGTGAGGTGAGTTGAGTGGTGAGGTGGTGAGTGGTGAGGTGGTGAGTGGTGAGTGACAGGTGCAGGTGTCACCCTCACCTATCTCTCCCCTGCTGTGTTCCCAGCGAGCGCTCAGCCCCTGCAAGACTCCACTGCTGACAGCCTACCAGAGCTCCCTGTTGGACTGCAGGTGACGAGGAGACCAGGCTGGTGGTGGTGGTGGAGGTGGTGACTGTGGTGACGGTGGTGGGGGTGATGGTGGTGGAGGAGGTGGTGGTGGTGGGGGTGGTGGTGGGGGTGGTGGTGGTGGGGGTGATGGTGGTGGAGGAGGTGGTGGTGGTGGTGGTGTGGGTGGGGGTGGTGGAGGAGGTGGTGGTGATGGTGGGGGTGGTGACGGTGGTGGTGGTGGTGGTGGGGGTGGAGGTGTGGGTGGTGGTGGGGGTGATGGTGGTGACGGTGGTAGTGGTGGTGGTGGTGGTGGTAGTGGGGGTGGTGGTGTGGGTGGTGGTGGTGATGGTGGTGATGGTGGTGACGGTGGTGAGGGTGATGGTGGTGATGGTGAGGGTTGTGACGGTGGCAAAAACAACCCCCTACCTCCTCGTTGGTACCGGATGGCAACGCTGTGGTGGGCAGTGCCATGGGGGGAGGGCCTATTTAGATTTTTGGCTTTTCCCTTAATGACGTTTGTAGCCACCACAGCAGCCAATTGGGGGCTCTGCATGGGTGCGAGGGGCTGGTAACCCATCTACGTTCAATTAATTATCACCAAACCATGAATGAAAAATGTAATTAATAAGCTTGTGCCGGAGGCCCCGGGGGGATAGGCATTTATGACGTCTCCTGGCCAAACCCCATTTGGCGGAGCCAGGAGACTGAATCCTTCCCCTCGGGGCTCCTCCTTTAACAACGAAAAGCCACTACGGATGGCCTCGTAGAATGTTCGAATGCTCACTGCGGAGGAGAGGTTGCCACTTCTCTGTCGGGAGCTGGACCGGTACCGCCTGGATCTCTGTGGTAATCAGGAGGTCCGGTGGACCGGCTCTGGCTCCTGCCACCGTGAGGGGTGGACAGTCTTCTACTCAGGGGAGGAGACTACCAAACAACAGGGAGTGGCTCTTCTTCTAAACAAAAGAATGAAGGGGGCGTGGGAGCGTGGTGGTGAGGTGTGGGAAGCTGTAAGCCCCAGGCTACTTTTTGGGCTCGCCTTCCCATCAACCAGAGGTGAGGAGTGGTGGTCATGGTTAGTTATGCCCCCACCGAAGATGAACATCCGTGGAAGGATGCAGGCATAAGTCAGATGCCTCCTATAACCTCCTGTCACAGGTGCTAGCTAAAGTGGACCCTCGGGATAGAGTCATCTTGTTGGGTGACTTCAATGCCCGAGTTGGTCATGATGCTGACACCTGGTCTGGAGTGATTGGAAGGCATGAGCCAGATCAGCTCAATAACAACGGCAGGAGGTTGCTAGATTTGTGTGCAGCCCATGGGCTTATAATTACCAACACGCTGTTCCGGCATCGGCGCATCCACACAACATCATGGATGCATGCCGGGTCTAAGCAAGGCCATCTACTGGATGTCATAGTGACGGAACAGCGAATGCGGGCCCATGTCCTTGACACCAGGACCTACCGTGGTACTGATCTGCCCACTGACCATCGACTAGTCATCTGTAAGATGCGCCTGCCATTCTTCCACTCCGGTGGTGGGTGTACACCCAGGACCCCATTTAAACCCATAGTGGCCTGGTCTCAGTGTGGCTGGGGTTGGCATCGTCCCCCACTCCTCCTAATGTCGAGGGACAATGGGCGAGATTTAGGACTGTGGCTCATGCAGCTGCAATGGCTGCTTTGGGTACACGGTCCAGACCTCCCCAGAGACCTTGGCTGACAGTGGAGGTGCTCAGGCTGGCTGAGAAAAAGCGACAGGCCCACTCTCATAGCCTACAGCATCCCGCGTCGGAGAATGAGGAGGCTTACCGTAACCTTTGCTCGGAGGTATGGAGAGCCGTGAGGTGCTGCAAGGATGGGTGGTGGTCGCGGGTTGCTGAGGAGATGGAGTCTGCCTCAATGGCCCGCGATCACAAATCGCTCTTTAACTCCATAAAAAAATATAACCTGCAGCGCCACACCTATTACCATCATTAGGGGAAAGAACAGTGACCAAATCTCCGACCCCGAGGAACAGGTTTGCATATTTGCTGAGCATTTCTGTGAGGTCCTGGGGGAGGAAAAATCCCTCAACCTGGAAAACATCGTGGGCCAAAGTGGGGATGACACTACTGAGGCTGCGGTGCCTCAAATATTGGAAGAAGTCACCCCCTGTGAGTGGCTGGCTGAGGTGCCATCTGTTGAGGAAGTACTGAAGGCAATCCAGAGTCTGAGACCAGGAAAGGCACCGGGTAGAGACGATCTCCCATGCAAAATGCTGAGGAAGGGTGGCGTTTGTGCACAAACTGTCCTACATGACATCATAACAACAGTCTGGACCACTGGATGGGTTCCGCAGGATTGGAAGAATGCCCTGGTGGTCCCCCTCTTTAAGAAGGGGGACCGCACAGACTGTAACAACTACAGGGGTATCTCACTCCTCAGTGTGCCGGGAAAGGTCCTGGCAAGGATTATTCAACATCGCCGTGCAAGGCACGCTTAGAAGAGGCATGCGGAACCCCAATGCGGTTTCAGGAAAAGGCGTTCCTGCACATGTCATATTTTCTGTCTGTCTGCTACAGTATAGGTATAGGGAATTCCAACAAGACCTACATCTCTGCTTTATTGACCTGACCAAGGCCTATGACACCATCAGTAGGCCTGGGCTCTGGGTTGTTCTTCGTGCTTTCGAAGTCCCTGACCCTCTGCTCATGATCATTAAGGACCTTCATGATAGTGAGCGGGCCCAGGCAAATCTACGTGGCCGGGAGTCGGAGCCATTCCCTGTACACCTTGGGGTGCGGCAGGGATGTCCTCTGGCTCCCACATTATTAAACATCTATTTTGACCACGTAGTTCGTGAAGTCTTCAGTAGCTGTACCGGAGGAATTCCCATCTGGTACAGATAGAATGGGAGGCTGATCGATGCCCGGGTGCGGTCAAGGGATGGCTCCCGATTGTTCAACCATGTAATGTATGCCGATGATCTGGGAATTGCTGCTCACTCAAAGGAGGAGTTGGAGGCACTGCTGCTGAACCTGGAGCTTGCCACTAAGAGGTGGAGCCTTACCCACTGAAACTAAGCACTTGCCTGGGTATTTTGTGCCATCGGACACTCCACCCCCACAACTTCCAATTGGTGATGGGATAGTTGTGGGGAGAGTGGAGAGTTTCCCATACCTGGGCAGTGTGCTCATGACCGGCTCCGGTTTAACAGCACTCGGAATCGGTCAAGCGGCATTATCTTTTCATCGGTTGCGTAATGCTGTGTGGAAGCTACCTGGTCTGTCGCTCCGCACTAAGCTTCAGGTCTTCTCGGCCACAGTCATTCCCTCCCTTCTCTATGCCTGTGAAACGTGGACCCCCCTAAGGGAACATCTTTGCTGGTTAGAAACATTTAGGCTGGCCTGTCTACGATCCATCCTGGGTTTAACCTGGCTGGATTGTGTGAGGAGCTCACAAATCCTTGAAAGATCTGGGCAAGGTCCCATCGGTGAGCTCCTCCGGCAGGCAACACTGCGTTGGCTGGGCCATGTAGCCCGCATGCCCAGCCATCACATGCCGAAACAGCTTTTGTTCAGCCGGATCGAGGGGGCTAGAGAAGATGGAGTGACGTGGTACAGGAGGACGTGGAGCTGAGTGGACTTGCCGATGACTGGTACCAGCGGTGTCGAGATCGGACTCAGTGGAGGAGGCTCGTGAAGGATGCTACTGGGCAGTTGGAGGTAGTCGCCCTCCAACAACAACGGAGGGCGGAGGAGCGACGCTCACAACAACGAGCGGAGCGCCGGGTGGCTAAAGCACAGCGGGTTGGCACAGTAGGGGGCACAGGTGGTGCATCAGCCACTCATCTCAGTCAGTCCCCCCCTGGCACCTGGGTCTGCCCCGTGACCTTCGTGCCAGCGTGCGTTCAACACTTCACGTGGCCTTGAAGTGCACATGGCCTGGCACAAGCGTCGTGGTGACGTCATCGCCACTTAGTGGCGAACGGCGGTTGTCGTCGTCGTTGTTGTTGTCGGCGACGGTGGCGGCGTCGATGGCGGCGGCGACACCACAACCCCCACCGCGTCTCCTCCCCCGCTGTCCCCGTGCCAGGTTCCCTGCGATCCTGGGCAAGCTGCGCACGGTGCTGACCGACGATTTGCCCTTCCGCAAGGGCAACCTCCTCTCGGCCAGGACACGGCGCTGCCACGTCGTGCGCCCCGGCCTCAACGGCTTCCTGGACCTCGCTCGGCGCATCCTCTCCGAGGCTGTCGGAGACATCGAAGGCACGGCACGGCTCACCCACCCGTAGCCCTCCCTGGCCGTCTTTGTATCTCTCTCTTCCTCTCTCTCTCTACCGCCTGCTGCTGTACGTTTGGAGTTTGCGTGTCTCTCTCATCATCGTCATCATCACGGTGGCTGCGAGATGTCAAGTACCTCGCCTGGTACGCAGGAGGTCGTGGGTTCCACCATCATCTCCCCCCCCCCCTCTCCTCCTTTCTCCCCCACTCTTCCCCCTCTCTCCCCTGCCCATTCTCTCTCTCAGAGATCATCAAACAGCTCTCCGTGATTCACAACCTGCCCATTCTCTCTCCCAGAGACCATCACACAGCTCTCCGAGATTCAGAACCTGCCCATTCTCTCTCTCCCAGAGATCATCAAACAGCTCTCCGTGATTCACAACCTGCCCATTCTCTCTCTCCCAGAGATCATCAAACAGCTCTCTGAGATTCACAACCTGCCCATCTCTCTCTCCCAGAGATCATCAAACAGCTCTCCGTGATTCACAACCTGCCCATTCTCTCTCTCCCAGAGATCATCAAACAGCTCTCTGAGATTCACAACCTGCCAATTCTCTCTCTCTCTCTCAGAGATCATCAAACAGCTCTCCGTGATTCACAACCTGCCCATTCTCTCTCTCCCAGAGACCATTACACAGCTCTCCGAGATTCAGAACCTGCCCATTCTCTCTCTCCCAGAGATCATCAAACAGCTCTCCGTGATTCACAACCTGCCCATTTTCTCTCTCTCCCAGAGATCATCAAACAGCTCTCCGAGATTCACAACCTGCCCATTCTCTCTCTCCCAGAGATCATCAAACAGCTCTCCGTGATTCACAACCTGCCCATTTTCTCTCTCTCCCAGAGATCATCAAACAGCTCTCCGAGATTCACAACCTGCCCATGTCCATGAGCTACAGCGCCCTGCGTGGCTTTTACATCCAGACGTCCGCTCACTCCCTGCAGCCCGAACAGCGTCTGCCAGAGGTCTTCATCAAGGTCAACGCACAGAGACTCACAGACTCATCACACAGAGACTCACAGACTCACCACACAGACTCATAGACTCATCGCACAGAGACCCATAGACTCATCGCACAGAGACCCACAGACTCACCACACAGAGACTCATAGACTCATCACATAGAGACTCATAGACTCATCGCACAGAGACCCATAGACTCATCGCACAGAGACCCACAGACTCACCACACAGAGACCCATAGACTCACCACACAGACTCATAGACTCATCGCACAGAGACTCACAGACTTATCACACAGAGACTCACAGACTCACCACACAGACTCATAGACTCATCGCACAGAGACCCATAGACTCATCGCACAGAGACCCACAGACTCACCACACAGAGACCCATAGACTCATCACATAGAGACTCATAGACTCATCGCACAGAGACCCATAGACTCATCGCACAGAGACCCACAGACTCACCACACAGAGACCCATAGACTCACCACACAGACTCATAGACTCATCGCACAGAGACTCACAGACTCATCACACAGAGACTCACAGACTCACCACACAGAGACCCACAGACTCATCACACAGAGACTCATAGACTCACACAGAGACCCATAGACTCATCACATAGAGACCCATAGACTCACCACACAGAGACCCATAGACTCATCACATAGAGACCCACAGACTCACCACACAGAGACCCATAGACTCACCACACAGAGACCCATAGACTCACCACGCAGAGACGCATAGACTCATCACACAGAGACTCAGACTCACCACTCACAGACTCACCACTCATAGACTCACCACTCACAGACTCACCACTCATAGACCCAGAGTCTATGTGTGAGTTTATGTGTCTAGGTGTGAGACTATGTGTGAGTCTGTGTCTATCTGTGAGTCTATGTGTCTTTGTGTGAGTCTATGTGTCTATGTGTGAACTATGTGTGAGTCTATGTGTCTACGTGTGAGTCTGTGTCTATGTGTGATTCTATGTGTCTATGTGTGAGTCTATGTGTCTATGTGTGTGTCTACGTGTGAGTCTATGAGTCTATGTGTGAGTCTATGTGTCTATGTGTGAGTCTATGTGTGAGTCTATGTGTCTATGTGTGAGTCTATGTGTCTATGTGTGAGTCTCACCCCTCACCCCACCACTCACCACACCCCTCACTCACCACCCCTCACTCACCACTCAGCGCACCACTCACCACACCCCTCACTCACCCCTCACCACCCCTCACTCACCACTCACCACCCTCACTCACCACTCACCACCCCTCACTCACCACTCACCACCCCTCACTCACCACCACTCACCACCCCTCACTCACCACTCACCACCCCTCACTCACCACCCCTCACTCACCACTCACCACCACTCACTCACCACCACTCACTCACCACTCACCACCCCTCACTCACCACTCACCACCACTCACTCACCACCACTCACTCACCACTCACCACCCCTCACTCACCCCTCACTCACCACTCACCACCCCTCACTCACCACTCACCACCACTCACCCCATCACTCACCACTCTCACTCACCACTCACCACCCTCACTCACCACTCACCACCCTCACTCACCACTCCCCACCACTCACTCACCACTCACCATCCTCACTCACCACTCACCACCACTCACTCACCACTCACCACTCTCACTCACCACTCACCACCCTCACTCACCACTCACTCACCCCTCACTCACCCCTCACTCACCACTCACCACCCCTCACTCACCACTCACCACACCCCTCACTCACCACTGACCACCCTCACTCACCACTCACCACCCCTCACTCACCACTCACCACCACTCACTCACCACTCACCACCCCTCACTCACCACTCACTCACCACCCCTCACTCACCACTCACCACACCTCACTCACCACTCACCACCCTCACTCACCCCTCACTCACCACTCACTCACCACCCCTCACTCACCACTCACCACCCTCACTCACCACTCACCACCCTCACTCACCACTCACCACCCCTCACTCACCACTCACCACCCCTCACTCACCACCACTCACCCCACCACTCACCACCCTTCACTCACCACCCCTCACTCACCACCCCTCACTCACCACTCACCACCCCTCACTCACCACTCACTCACCACTGACTCACCACTCACCACTCACCACCACTCACCCCACCACTCACCACCCCTCACTCACCACCCCTCACTCACCACCCCTCACTCACCACTCACCACCCTCACTCACCACACACCACACCCCTCACTCACCACTCACCACCCCTCACTCGGCCACTCACCACCCCTCACTCACCACCCCTCACTCACCACTCACCACCCCTCACTCACCACTCACCACCCCTCACTCACCCCTCACTCACCACCCCTCACTCACCACTCACCACCCCTCACTCACCACCCTCACTCACCACTCACCACCACTCACTCACCACTCACCACCCCTCACTCACCACTCACCACCACTCACTCACCACCACTCACCACTCACTCACCACTCACCACCACTCACTCACCACTCACCACCCCTCACTCACCACCCTCACTCACCACTCACCACCACTCACTCACCACTCACCACCCCTCACTCACCACTCACCACCACTCACTCACCACCACTCACCACTCACTCACCACTCACCACCACTCACTCACCACTCACCACCCCTCACTCACCACTCACCACACCTCACTCACCACCCCTCACTCACCACCACTCACCACTCACTCACCACTCACCACCACTCACTCACCACTCACCACCACTCACTCACCACCACTCACCACTCACTCACCACCCCTCACTCACCACTCACCACCCCTCACTCACCACTCACCACCACTCACTCACCACCACTCACTCACCACTCACCACCCCTCACTCACCCCTCACTCACCACTTACCACCCCTCACTCACCACTCACCACCACTCACCCCATCACTCACCACTCTCACTCACCACTCACCACCCTCACTCACCACTCACCACCCTCACTCACCACTCCCCACCACTCACTCACCACTCACCATCCTCACTCACCACTCACCACCACTCACTCACCACTCACCACTCTCACTCACCACTCACCACCCTCACTCACCACTCACTCACCCCTCACTCACCCCTCACTCACCACTCACCACCCCTCACTCACCACTCACCACCCCTCACTCACCACTCACTCACCCCTCACTCACCCCTCACTCACCACTCACTCACCACCCCTCACTCACCACTCACCACACCCCTCACTCACCACTCACCACCCCTCACTCACCCCTCACCACACCTCACTCACCACTCACCACCCTCACTCACCCCTCACTCACCACTCACCACCCCTCACTCACCTCTCACCACACCTCACTCACCACTCACCACCCTCACTCACCCCTCACTCACCACTCACTCACCACCCCTCACTCACCACTCACCACCCTCACTCACCACTCACAACCCTCACTCACCACTCACCACCCCTCACTCACCACTCACCACCACTCACCCCACCACTCACCACCCTTCACTCACCACCCCTCACTCACCACCCCTCACTCACCACTCACCACCCCTCACTCACCACTCACTCACCACTGACTCACCACTCACCACCCCTCACTCACCACTCACCACCACTCACCCCACCACTCACCACCCCTCACTCACCACCCCTCACTCACCACCCCTCACTCACCACTCACCACCCTCACTCACCACACACCACACCCCTCACTCACCACTCACCACTCACCACCCCTCACTCACCACTCACCACCCTCACTCACCACTCACCACCCTCACTCACCACTCACCACACCTCACTCACCACTCACTCACCACCCCTCACTCACCACTCACCACCCTCACTCACCACTCACTCACCACCCCTCACTCACCACTCACCACACCCCTCACTCACCACTCACCACCCCTCACTCATCACTCACCACCCCTCACTCACCAGGTGAGCAAACGTGGGAACCTTCTCAGCTACACCACCATGGACCTCATGAGGCTGAACTGCCGCAGCCAGGAAGCCGTGGAGGAGATCTACCTCATGTCCAACGTGTGAGAGAACACCCCTACCCCAGGCAGAGTGTGGTGGACTAATCTCCATCTGTTCCTCCACTCACTGCCCCGTCTACCTGTGGGGGTTGCAGAGGAACCCCCTGGCTATGCCCTGCACTACTATACACTACACTATACACTACACTATACACTACACTACACACTACATTATACACTACACTATACACTACACTATACACTACACTATACACTACACTATACACTACACTATACACTACACTACTATACACTACAATATACACTACACTATACACTACACTATACACTACACTACTATACACTACACTATACACTACACTATACACTACACTATACACTACACTATACACTACACTATACACTACACTACTATACACTACACTATACACTACACTATACACTACACTACTATACACTACACTATACATTACTATACACTACACTATACACTACACTACTATACACTACACTATACACTACACTATACACTACTATACACTGCACTATACACTACAATATACACTACACTATACACTACACTATACACTACTATACACTACACTATACACTACACTATGCACTACTATACACTACACTATACACTACTATACACTACACTATACACTACTATACACTACACTATACACTACACTATACTACTATACACTACACTATACACTACTGTACACTGTACATTACACTATGCACTACACTATACACTACTATACACTACACTATACACTACTATACACTACACAATACACTACACTATACACTACTACACTATACACTACATTATACACTACTATACACTACACTATACACTACACTATACACTACTGTACACTATACACTACACAATGCACTACACTATACACTACACTATACACTACTGTACACTATACACTACACTATACACTACACTATACACTACTGTACACTACACTATGCACTACACTATACACTACACTATACACTACTGTACACTACACTATACACTACTATACACTACTGTACACTACACAATGCACTACACTATACACTACACTATACACTACTGTACACTACACTATACACTACTATACACTACTACACTACACTATGCACTACACTATACACTACACTATACACTACTGTACACTACTCTTTACACAACACCCTTTGGGGGGGGAGGGTGACCCCCGCTCTGTCTCCGTGCCCAGGGTGTTGTCCAAGCTGTTTGCGGAGATCCGGGAGGACATAGTGTGTCTCTACAAGCTTGCTGACGCAGTGTCCATGGTGGACATGCTGCTGGCATTCGCTCACCGCACCACGCTCACCAAGTCCGGTACGCGGTGGGTGGGTGGGTGAGTGAGTGGGTGAGTGAGTGGGTGAGTGGATGGGTGGGTGAGTGGGTAAGTGGGTGAGTGAGGGAGTGAGTGAGTGAGTAGGTGGGTGGGTGAGTGAGTGAGTGGGTGGGTGGGTGGGTGAGTGAGTGGGTGGGTGGGTGGGTGAGTGAGTGAGTGAGTGGGTGGGTGGGTGAGTGAGTGAGTGGGTGGGTGGGTGGGTGAGTGAGTGGGTAAGTGGGTGAGTGAGGGAGTGAGTGAGTGAGTGGGTGAGTGAGTGAGGGAGAGTGAGTGAGTGGGTGGGTGAGTGGATGAGTGAGTGAGTGGGTGAGTGGGTGAGTGAGGGATTGAGTGAGTGAGTGGGTGAGTGGGTAGGTGAGTGAGTGGGTGAGTGGGTGGATGGGTGGGTGAGTGAGTGAGTGGGTGAGTGGATGAGTGAGGGAGTGAGTGAGTGAGTGGGTGAGTGGGTGGGTGAGTGAGTGAGTGGGTGGGTGAGTGAGTGAGGGAGTGAGTGAGTGAGTGGGTGGGTGAGTGGATGAGTGAGTGGCCTTCACCCCCCGTGACCTCCCCCCGTGACCTCCGCCCCCGTGACCTCCGCCCCGTGACCTTCACCCCCGTGACCTCCCCCCGTGACCTCCGCTCCCGTGACCTCCGCCCCGTGACCTCTACCCCGCGACCTCCCCCCCTTGACTCCTCCCCCCCGTGACCTCCCCCCCGTGAATCCTCCCCCCTGTGACCTCCCTCCCATGACCTCCCCCCCTTGACCTCCACCCCCATGACCTTCACCCCCGTGACCTCCCGTGACCTCCCCCCCGCTGTCTGTGGTGAGCTGCAGTCCGTCCGGAATTCTCTGACACACTGGCCCTCAAGGGGGCTCGCCACCCCATCCTGGAGCGGGTGCTGGGCTGGCCGCTGGTGCCTAACGACGTCTTCCTGTCGGACGCCTCCAACTTCCTCGTTGTCACGGGGCCCAACAACAGCGGCAAGTCCACGCTGCTGAGACAGGTGGCACTCTGCCAGGTGATGGCACAGATCGGTGAGTGGGTGGGGGGGTGAGTTGGTGAGTGAGTGAGTGGGTGAGTGAGTGGGTGAGTGGGTGGGTGAGTTGGTGAGTGGGTGAGTGAGTGATTGAGTGGGTGAGTCAGTGAGTGAGTGAGTGGGTGGGTGGGTGAGTGACTGTTTGAGTGAGTGAGTGGGTGAGTGATTGAGTGGGTGGGTGGGTGAGTGAGTGGGTGAGTGATTGAGTGGGTGGGTGAGTGAGTGAGTGAGTTGGTGAGTGGGTGGGTGAGTTGGTGAGTGAGTGAGTCGGTGGGTGAGTAAGTTGGTGAATGGGTGGGTGAGTTGGTGAGTGAGATGGTTGGTGAGTGGGTGGGTGAGTTGGTGAATGAGTGAGTTGGTGAGTGAGTGAGTGGGTGAGTGGGTGAGTGATTGGGTGGGTGAGTCAGTGAGTTGGTGAGTGAGTGGGTGAGTGATTGAGTGGGTGAGTCAGTGAGTGAGTGAGTGGGTGGGTGGGTGAGTGACTGTTTGAGTGAGTGAGTGAGTGGGTGAGTGATTGAGTGGGTGGGTGGGTGAGTGAGTGGGTGAGTGATTGAGTGGGTGGGTGAGTGAGTGGGTGAGTGATTGAGTGGGTGAGTAAGTGGGTGAGTGATTGAGTGGGTGAGTGAGTGGGTGAGTGAGTGAGTGGGTGATTGAGTGAGTAGGTGAGTGGGTGAGTAAGTGAGTGAGTGGGTGATTGAGTAGGTGAGTAAGTGAGTAGGTGAGTGTTTGAGTGAGTGAGTGAGTAGGTGAGTGAGTGAGTAGGTGAGTGTTTGAGTGAGTGAGTAGGTGAGTGAGTGAGTAGGTGAGTGAGTAGGTGAGTGAGTGAGTGGGTGATTGAGTGAGTAGGTGAGTGAGTGGGTGAGTAAGTGAGTGAGTGGGTGATTGAGTAGGTGAGTAAGTGAGTAGGTGAGTGTTTGAGTGAGTGAGTAGGTGAGTAAGTAAGTGAGTGTTTGAGTGAGTGAGTGAGTAGGTGAGTAAGTAAGTGAGTGAGTGTTTGGGTGAGTGAGTGAGTGAGTAAGTAAGTGAGTGAGTGTTTGGGTGAGTGAGTGAGTAGGTGAGTAAGTAAGTGAGTGAGTGTTTGAGTGAGTAGGTGAGTAAGTAAGTGAGTAAGTGTTTGGGTGCTACCACTGCTTCAGGTTGCTTCGTGCCAGCCGACTTTGCCTGCGTGAGGATCGCTGATCAGATCTTCACTCGCATCGGTGTGGACGACGATATCCAGCCACTCTCCTCCACCTTCACCATCGAGATGAGAGAGGTGGGTGTGGAGTGAGAGGGTGGGTGAGTGGGTGGGTGGGTGAGTGGATTGGTGAGTGGGTTGGTGGGTGAGTGTGTGAGTGGGTGGGTGAGTGTGTGAATGGGTTGGTGAGTGGGTGGGTGAGTGGTTGGTTGGGTGTGTGAGTGGGTGTGTGAGTGGGTGAGTGAGTGGGTGGGTGAGTGGTTGGGTGGGTGAGTGGGTGGGTGAGTGGTTGGGTAGGTGGGTGAGTGGGTTGGTGAGTGGGTGTGTGAGTGGGTGGGTGAGTGGATGTGTGAGTGGGTGGGTGAGTGGGTGGGTGAGTGACTGGGTGGGTGAGTGGGTGGGTGGGTGAGTGGGTGGGTGAGTGGTTGGGTAGGTGGGTGAGTGGTTTGGTGAGTGGGTGGGTGAGTGGGTGGGTGAGTGGGTGGGTGGGTGTGTGAGTGGGTGGATGGGTGTGTGAGTGGGTGGGTGAGTGAGTGGGTGTGTGAGTGAGTTGGTGAGTGAGTGAGTGGGTGGGTGTGTGGGTGGGTGTGTGGGTGGGTGAGTGGTTGGGTGAGTGGGTGGGTGAGTGAGATGGTAAGTGAGTTGGTGAGTGAGTGAGTTGGTGAGTGGGTGGGTGTGTGGGTGGGTGAGTAGGTGGGTGACCCCCGGTGACCCCCATGACCCCAGGTGAACTACATAGTTCGCACAGCCACCGACCGCTCTCTGGTGATCATCGACGAGCTCGGGAGGGGCACCGGGGTCCACGAGGCCCTGGGGATCTGTCACTCGGTCTGTGAGTGTCTCCTGCAGCGCAAGGTGGTGACCACTCACACTCACCACTCACACTCACCACTCACACTCACCACTCACACTCACCACACTCACCACTCACACTCACCACTCACACTCACCACAAACACTCACCACACTCACCACTCACACTCGGTCTGTGAGTGTCTCCTTCAGCGCAAGGTGGTGACCGCTCACACTCACACTCACTACACTCACCACTCACACTCACCACCCTCACCACCCTCACCACCCCCGTGTGTCTCCCCCCCCTCCCCCAGACGTTCACCATCTTCGCCACCCACCACCTGGAGCTGAGTCACCTCTCCACCCTCTACCCCAACGTCTCCAACAGCCACTTCCTGGTGGAGTCGCGCAATCAGCAACAGCAGCTGCAGCAGCATCGTGACGGTAAAGCCGCTGGTGCCGACGACTCGCGGACGGTGCCACGTGTGACGTGCACGTACAAGCTGGTGCAGGGGCACACGCCGGACACGCACTACGGTACTACGCGTGTGTGTGTGTGTGTACGTGTGTGTGTGTATGTGTGTGTACGTGTGTGTATGTGTACGTGTGTGTGTGTACGTGTGTGTGTACGTGTGTGTGTGTGTGTACGTGTGTGTGTACGTGTGTGTGTACGTGTGTGTGTACGTGTGTGTACGTGTGTGTGTACATGTGTGTGTCTGTCCGTCTGCTACAGCAGAGGTGTAGGGAATTCCAACAAGACCTACATCTCTGCTTTATTGACCTGGTCAAGGCCTATGATACCATCAGTAGGCCTGGGCTCTGGGTCGTTCTTCGTGCTTTTGGAGTACCTGACCCTCTGCTCACGATCATTAAGGACCTTCATGATGGTGAGCGGGCCCGGGTAAAACTACGTGGCCGGGAGTCAGAGCCATTCCCTGTACACCTTGGGGTGCGACAGGGATGTCCTCTGGCTCCCACGTTATTTAACATCTATTTTGACCACGTAGTTCGTGAAACCTTCAATAGCTGTACCGGGGGAATCTCCATATGGTACAGATATAATGTGAGGCTAATCGATGCCCGGGTGCGGTCAAGGGATGGCTCCCTATTGCTCAACCACGTTATGTATGCTGATGATTTGGTAATAGCTGCTCAGTCAGAGGAGGAGTTGGAGACGCTGCTGCTGAGACTGGAGCGTGCCACTTAGAGGTGGGGCCTTACCATCAGCCCCACCAAAACTAAGCACCTGCCTGGGTATTTTGTACCATCGGACACTCCACCCCACAACTCCCAATCGGTGATGGGGCAGTTGTGGAGAGAGTGGAGAGTTTCCCATACCTGGGCAGTGTGCTTATGACTGGCTCCAGTTTAACAGCAGAGGTCTCACTCCGAATCAGTCGAGCGGCAATATCTTTTCATCAGTTGCGTAACGCTGTGTGGAAGCTACCTGGTCTGTCGCTCCGCACTAAGCTTCAGGTCTTCTCGGCCACGGTCATTCCCTCCCTTCTCTACGCTTGCGAAACGTGGACCCCCCTAAGGGAACATCTTTGCTGGTTAGAAACATTTAGGCTGGCCTGCCTACGATCCATCCTGGGTTTAACCAGACTGGATTGTGTGAGGAGCTCACAAATCCTTGAAAGATCTGGGCAGGGTCCCATCGGTGAGCTCCTCCGGCAGGCAAGGTTGCGATGGCTGGGTCATGTAGCCCGCATGCCCAGCCACCGCATGCCGAAACAGCTTTTGTTTGGCCGGATTGAGGGGGCTAAGCGGGCGCGGCACGGGCTAGAGAAGAGATGGAGTGATGTGGTACAGGAGGACGTGGAGCTGAGTGGACTTGCCGATGACTGGTACCAGCGGTGTCAAGATCGGCCTCTGTGGAGGAGGCTCGTGAAGGATGCTACTGGGCAGTTGGAGGCAGTCGCCCTCCAACAACAACGGAGGACGGAGGAGCGACGCTCAGAACAACGAGCGGAGCGCCGGGTGGCTAAAGCACAGCAGGTTGGCACAGTAGGGGGCACAGGTGGTGCATCAGCCAGTCATCTCAGTCCTCCTGCCAGCGGGCGTTCGACACTTCACGTGGCCTCAGGATGCACATAGCCTGGCACAAGCGTCGTGGTGACGTCACCGCCATTTAGTGGCGAATGGCGGTTGTTGTTGTGTACGTGTGTGTACGTGTGTGTGTGTACATGTGTGTATGTGTGTGTGTGTACGTGTGTCCGGCAAAAACAACCCCCTACCTCGTTGGTGCCGGACTGCAACGCTGTGGTGAGCGGTGCCGTGGGGGGAGGGTCAATGTAAATTGACCATTCCCCTCGTGGCGTTTGTGACCATCACAGTGGCCAAATGGGGGCTCTGGATGGGTGCAAGGGGCTGGTAACCCCTCCACCTTCAATTAACTACCACCAAACTACGATTATAATTTTTTTTATTAAGCTTGTGCCGGAGGCCCCGGGGGTACAGGCGTCTATGACGTCTCCTGGCCAAACTCCACTTGGCGGAGCCAGGAGATTGAATATCTACCCTCGGGGCTCCTCCAGAAACAACGAAAAGCCACTACGTGTGGCCACGTGGAATGTTCGAACGCTCACTGCGGAGGAGAGGCTGCCACTCCTCTGTCGGGAGCTGGACCGGTGCCGCCTCGATCTCTGTGGTATTCAGGAGGTCCGGTGGACCGGCTCTGGCTCCTACCACCATGAGGGATGGACAGTCCTCTTCTCACGGCAGGAGACTGCCAAACAACAGGGAGTGGTTCTTATTCTGAACAAAAGAATGAAGGGGGCGTGGGAGCGTGGCGGTGAGGTGTGGGAAGCTGTAAGCCCCAGGCTACTTTGGGCTCGCCTTCCCATCAACCGGAGGTGAGGAGTGGTGGTCGTGGTTACTTATGCCCCCACCGAAGACGAACATCCGTGGAGGGATCCAGGCAAGGCCGATGAGTCGGATGCCTTCTATGACCTCCTGTCACAGGTGCGAGCTAAAGTAGCCCCTCGGGATAGAGTCATCTTGTTGGGTGAATGCCCGAGTTGGTCATGATGCTGGCACCTGGTCTGGAGTGATTGGAAGGCATGGGCCAGACCAGCTCAATAACAACGGCAGGAGGCTGCTACATTTTTGTGCAGCCCATGGGCTTGTAAATACCAACACGCTGTTCCGGCATCGGCGCATCCACACAACATCATGGATGCATGCCGGGTCCAAGCAAGAACACTGCTGGACTACATAGTGACGGAACAGCGAATGCGAGCCCATGTCCTTGACACCAGGACCTACCGTGGAACTGATCTGCCCACTGACCATCGACTAGTCATCTGTAAGATGCACCTGCCATTCTTCCACTCCGGTGGTGGGTGTACACCCAGGACCCCATTCAAACCCTTAGTGGCATGCTCTGCCGGCTGGGATTGGCATCGTCCCCCACTCCTCCTGATGTCGAGGGACAACGGGCAAGGTTTAGGACCGTGGCTCATATAGCTGCAATGGCTGCTTTGGGTACGTGGTCCAGACCTCCCCAGAGACCCTGGCTGACAGAGGAGATGTTCAGGATGGTTGAGAAAAAGCGACAGGCCCACTGTCATCGGCTACAGAATCCCACGTCGGAGAATGAGGAGGCTTACCGCAGCCCTCGCTCGGAGGTTCGGAGAGCCGCGAGGCGCCGCAATGACGGGTGGCGGTCGCGGGTTGCTGAGGAGATAGAGTCTGCATCAGTGGCCCGCGATCACAAATCGCTTTTTAACTCCCCATCAAGAGAGTAACCTGCGGCGCCACAACCGATTACCATCATTGGGGGAAAGAACGGTGACCCGATCTCCGACCCCCAGGGAACAGGTTTGCAGATCTGCCGAGCATTTCCGCGAGGTCCCGGTAGGGGAAGGGGGAAAACCCCTCGGCCCGGAAAAACACATCACGGCACAGAGCGGGGACGGCCCTGCCGAGGCCGCCGGCGCCTCAAACATCGTAAAGAAGAAGCCGTCGCCTTCCGCGACGCGGTCGGCGTCTCACGGCCACCACCACCCTCCTCCCCCTCCCCCCCCCCTCCCCCTCCGCGTGCCCCGCGTCCAGGTCTGGAGATGGCCACGCTGTCATCGCTGCCGCCCTCCCTGCTGCGCGACGCCACGGGGCTGCTGGCGCGGATCGGCGGCAAGAGCTGGGTAACGACGCTGACCCCCGCCGACACCCCCGCCGCGACCCCCCCGCGACCCGCCCGTGACCCCCCCCCCGTGACCCCTCCGCGACCCCCCCCAGATGGAGCGTCAGGCCGACTCCGCGCCCGTGCTGCGCCGAGCGGCCGTCCACCGCCTCGCGACGCGGCTGGGCCAGGCGGCGCGACACTCGCGGCTGGACGGAGCCAGCCTGGCCACGTACCTGGGGTCGCTGAGACAGCGGTACCTCGACGAGCTGGAGCACATCGCTGACGCCACCGCTAACACCCACTGAACAACACCACCACGAACACCACCACCGCTAACACCCACTGAACGACACCACCACCAACACCACCGCTAACACCCACTGAACGACACCACCACCACCGCTAACACTCACTGAACGACACCACCACCACCACCACCGCTAACACACACTGAACGACACCACCACCAACACCACCACCGCTAACACCGCTAACACCCACTGAACGACACCACCACCACCACTACCACCGCTAACACACACTGAACGACACCACCACCAACACCACCACCGCTAACACCGCTAACACCCACTGAACGACACCACCACCACCACCGCTAACACCCACTGAACGACACCACCACCAACACCACCACCACCGCTAACACCCACTGAACGACACCACCACCACCACCGCTAACACCCACTGAAGGACACGACCACCAACACCACCACCACCGCTAACACCCACTGAACGACACCACCACCACCACCGCTAACACCCACTGAACGACACCACCACCAACACCACCACCACCGCTAACACACACTGAACGACACCACCACCAACACCACCACCACCGCTAACCCCCACTGAACGACACCACCACCAACACCACCACCGCTAACACCCACTGAACGACACCACCACCAACACCACCACCAACACCACCACCACCGCTAACACCCACTGAACGACACCACCAACACCACCACCACCGCTAACATCCATTGAACGACACCACCACCAACACCACCACCAACACCACCACCACCGGTAACACCCACTGAACGACACCACCACCACCACCGCTAACACCCACTGAACGACACCACCAACACCACCACCACCGCTAACACCCACTGAACGACACCACCACCAACACCACCATAAACACCACCACCACCGCTAACACCCACTGAACGACACCACCACCGCTAACACCCACTGAACGACACCACCACCAACACCACCACCACTAACACCCACTGAACGACACCACCACCAACACCACCACCGCTAACACCCACTGAACGACACCAACACCGCTAACACCCACTGAACGACACCACCACCAACACCACCACCGCTAACACCCACTGAACGACACCACCACCACCACCGCTAACACCCACTGAACGACACCACCACCAACACCACCACCGCTAACACCCACTGAACGACACCACCACCACCACCACCGCTAACACCCACTGAACGACACCACCACCAACACCACCACCGCTAACACCCACTGAACGACACCACCAACACCACCACGATCCAACACCACCAATGCTACCACCACCAATTCCACCACCACCACCACCACCACGGTGGAGGGGTAAGCGTGTGGGTACCATTGTGTGGTGTGGGGTAGGCTGACGGAGGTCCCGATTAGCCAGACGATGATGTTATTTCGTGCTGTGTTGTTGGATATATAAACAAAAAGTTTACTGTCAAACTGGCTCAGTGATTGAGTAATTTAGTGAGCAAGCGACTGAGTGAGCAGCTGAGCTCCTGAGTGAGTGACTGGCTGAGTGAGTGAGTGACTGGCTGAGTGAGTGACTGGCTGAGTGAGTGAGTGACTGGCTGAGTGAGTGAGTCACTGGCTGAGTGAGTGAGTGACTGTCTGAGTGAGTCACTGGCTGAGTGAGTGACTGGCTGAGTGAGTGACTGGCTGAGTGAGTGAGTGACTGGCTGAGTGAGTGACTGGCTGAGTGAGTCACTGGCTGAGTGAGTGAGTGACTGGCTGAGTGAGTGACTGGCTGAGTGAGTGAGTCACTGGCTGAGTCACTGGCTGAGTGAGTGAGTGAGTGACTGGCTGAGTGAGTCACTGGCTGAGTGAGTCACTGGCTGAGTGGGTGACTGGCTGAGTGAGTGACTGGCTGAGTGAGTGACTGGCTGAGTGAGTCACTGGCCGAGTGAGTGACTGAGTCCGTAATAGAGGTTTTGTTGGTTTAGATGGCGTAAATATATAAATGTTGTGTCGTTAAAACCAACCAGGCTAGGTGCATGAGGTCACAGAGACAGACCCAGCAGGTGCCGTGGGTTGTACTGCTGTGCCAGGCTAGGTGCATGAGGTCACTGAGACAGACCCAGCAGGTGCCGTGGGTTGTACTGCTGTGCCAGGCTAGGTGCATGAGGTCACAGATACAGACCCAGCAGGTGACGTGGGTTGTACTGCTGTGCCAGGCTAGGTGTATGAGGTCACTGAGACAGACCCAGCAGGTGACGTGGGTTGTAGTGCTGTGCCAGGCTAGGTGCACGAGGTCACAGAGACAGACCCAGCAGGTGATGTGTGTTGACTGCTGTGCCAGGCTAGGTGCATGAGGAGGTCACAGAGACAGACCCAGCAGGTGCTGTGGGTTGTACTGCTGTGCCAGGCTAGGTGCATGAGGTCACAGAGACAGACCCAGCAGGTGCCATGTGTTGTACTGCTGTGCCAGGCTAGGTGCATGAGGTCACAGAGACAGACCCAGCAGGTGACGTGGGTTGTACTGCTGTGCCAGGCTAGGTGCACGAGGAAGTCACGTGACAGACCCAGCAGGTGGCGTGTGTTGTACTGCTGTGCCAGGCTAGGTGCACGAGGAAGTCACGTGACAGACCCAGCAGGTGGCGTGTGTGTTGTACTGCTGTGCCAGGCTAGGTGCACCAGGAGGTGACAGAGACAGACCCAACAGGTGCCGTGTGTTGTACTGCTGTGCCAGGCTAGGTGCATGAAGTCACGTGACAGACCCAGCAGGTGACGTGTGTGTGTTGTACTGCTGTGCCAGGCTAGGTGCATGAGGAGGAAGTCACGTGTGTGTGGTGTTGAACAAGGCGTGGTCGTCAACAGCTGTGGTGGGATCGCTGTGGCTCCGTGCCCTCTGTGCTGGTCACCCCTGACCCCCAGGGGTCAGGGGTCAGCGCCACACACAGCTCGGACAAAGCGCCGTGACGAATATTTATTAACTCTGGGCTTGCACAGTATCACAGAAACAAGTTGGGTTATTAAATGCATTCTAGATTTAAAGCTTTCGTGACTGCTAGGATCCATACTCTTTGGTTCTATTGGGTAAAGTCACGTAGGTGAAAATAAAATAACAAAAAATCACGACGTTTCGGCCACAACACAAGCTGCCTTCATCAGGTGAAGGGGCGAGACTGTCTGGAGGACAGCGCTGGAGTGGAAGAAGCCACGCTTAGATCACGACCTTTAAGCTGTGTGAGAAGAAAAAGACCAAGCGCCTTGACAAAGGAATTAGCATATAATTTAGCATTGAAATGGCTCATTGAAATAGCTAAGTTAAAGTATACACATCCGCAGAGGTACCCCTTGACAAAGGAATTAGCATCGAATTTAGCATTGAAATAGCTGAGTGATTAGCTTGTAACTGGTCACAGAAATAGCTGTGTTAAAGTTAGAGCATATACATTCACCGAGGCACCTTGTACTCATCAAACAGGAGAATTTAGCGAAACACAACCACGCTCAGACATCGGACCTGTGTGCGAGCAAACAAGATGTTCTGACAAAGAAATTAGCATAAAAATTAGCATTTGATTGGCGGATTTTAGGAAAGAGGTGGTGTACGTGCCGGTGGACTTGCAGTTTGGCGCGGGGGGGGGGGGGGGGAAGGGGGGAGGGGGAGTTTACCTATTGATGGTGTGAAAAGGGGGAATTTATAAGAGCTGCGAAAGTTTGGGGTACCACTACTTGAAAAATATACTGTACCATTGAAATTAGTTTAATGTTTAGTTCGATTTAGAACATCTTTCCAATGGTTGCTTAATTTGAAACCATCCTCTCGGTTGAAATTGTGTCTGTGTTTGAAGATCTGAATTGCTTCATGAACAAATCTCTGATAAAAGCCCGTGGGTTTGCAAAGAACCTTGGTATCGGAGAAAATTATATCGTGATCCCCCACAGCGTTGTAACAGTGATCAGCCACGGCAGAAGAATTCTTTTTGCCGTGTTTCAAATCCGATTTGTGCTCGCGAATTCGGTCAGAGACATGTCACTTTGTCTCACCGATGTAGCAATCACCGCAGGTACAACTCAATTTGGAAACCCCGGGGTACTGTAAATCAGGAATGACATCCTTCACGGATGGGATCAGATCACGAATTTTGTGTACTGTATTGAACCGGACCTGGATTTTGTGTTTGTTTAGAATTTTGGAAATCTTTTTAGTAACGCCTGCTATATATGGAAGTGTGATGGTTTTGACCGGAGTATCAAGTGGTTGTCTCTGTATGGAGGGAGAGACAGCTTGGCGGATGGTACGGTCAGAGTAACCATTCCTTTTGAGGGCCAGGTGTACATGTTTTAATTCACTGGTCAGGTGGTGTTGGTCCGAAATGCAATGAGCCCTATGGTATAAAGTTTTGATGAGAGGATTCTTTTGGGCTGGGTGGTGGTGGGAATCAGGTTTCAAGTAGGAATCTGTGTGGGTGGGTTTCCACTCCAGCGCTAATTCCTTTGTCAAGGGGTACCTCTGCGGATGTGTATACTTTACCTTAGCTATTTCAATGAGCCATTTCAATGCTAAATTATATGCTAATTCCTTTGTCAAGGCGCGTGGTCTTTTTCTTCTCACACAGCTTAAAGGTCGTGATCTAAGCATGGCTTCTTCCACTCCAGCGCTGTCCTCCAGACAGTCTCGTCCCTTCACCTGATGAAGGCCGCTTGTGTTGTGGCCGAAACGTCGTGATTTTTTGTTATTTTATTTTCACCTACGTGACTTTACCCAATAGAACCAAAGAGTATGAATCCTAGCAGTCACGAAAGCTTTAAATCTAGAGCTTGAGACAGGTTCAACCTGCAGAGTAAGAGCGAGCGGCCAGTCTTTGTGGACCTGTGGGTTGGGGAGATCTCTGACCAGGAGCATTCACTATGTTATCATAATAATTGCTTTTACACGGTGCTTGATAAATCACCTCAGCAACTCGGAGTTTTGTATCTCGTCTGAGACGCTCGAAGAGCATCCCCAAGTAGCAGCTGCCCCGGTGTGGCACAAGGTGGTGGCCCTGCATGAAATAAAATAAAGATTCATCTGTTTGTGCGAAGCGGCA